TTAATTAAGCATTAACTGTTCAAGATTTCATTTAGGCTGAGCCTAACACACATTATGTTAGGCAAACTAGTTTGGATGGCAGATTTCCTGTCCCAGAACAATACAGGTTACATCATGGACTTTATTCTTCCCTCCTCCCGTCAGATCAGGGTACATCTTCCAGCTTTATAGAACTGCATCTACTTCAGCCTGTCAGTTGCACAGCATACTCAGTCAAAGCCAACTGGAAATATACCAAGCCAAGTCAATAACATTAAAGAACTCATTAAAGATAGTTTGAATTGGGGACAATGTTTTTAAATTTGCTGTTTTTACTTTTACAGTTAAGTCAACATCACAAATACCATCTGGATCATCATCCCTTTAATTGATTTCTTCACATGCAAAACCATCAGTCTAAATTTATTCCAACTGATTCTTCAAAAACAAGCTCCCAAATCCAAGCCCTATAATCTTCAATCAAGCCAGGTGGTAGAATGCAGATGTGAAAAATGAGATGTCTTGCCTTCCTCTAAGTCAAAAGAGTCAGCCCTCAAAGATATATTAAAGTCAGGGACCAAACTGGGCTTCAAGAAAACAGATGACAAAACAAACAGTAAAAAAAGCTCTTGCTGGCACTTAGCTGGACAAATCTCCTGAGGGTTAAACACTGCTACCACAATGTTTGTGACAAAGCAGAATAGAATTATTTGAAATGACAGTTATGTTTCTAGAAATCTGACAGACACATTGATATTGCTGTCCCTTGGTTAATCAATAAATCGGCCAAAGTTTAGGGTCCTGCGCATTGCTTTCTTTAGGAGGGCAACATGATGGCAGGATCAAGTATTTATGATATAATCCTGTTTATTATTTCCTTGTACATAAGAGGAATCAAACAACAGAAGAGAGTGTCTTTGCTTACAGCTCCAAGCCTCTTTAAAAGCCAAAAAAAACTCTCTCATTTTTTTCACATTTTACATATTCATGAAAATACTGGCACCATCTGATACTTCCTCTGTGCCTTCTCTCTGGTTTTCTGGACTATTTGCCATTTCTCTCACAGAAATGCAGTCCCACGAATCACTGCCTTTGCATTTGCTAAATCAGACCCCAGAAACCTTTTGGGCTACATCACTCAGCTTCTGAGCAAGCCTTGCTATGGGCCTGTATTTTGGGTGGCAGCTTCTTGTTTCAGCTGCCTAACTAGTTACACAGTTAATTGGACGAGCTTAATGACTCTGCAGTGGCTGTCACTCTCACCCACATCAGCAACCATTAATAGTAAGGTAATGTGGGTTTACAGCATTCATAGCAGAAGTGCTTTTAATAAACATAGGAAAATCCCACAGTGTTTTCATTATAATGCAACACAAGATAGCTAACACTCAGGTCTGCCTTTGCCTACTGCTTTCAGCAGCCTCCACCCCTAATTGAGTTATACTCAGTGGCTCGGTACACAAAATCTGAGCTCAGCATAAGTAAATAGGCATGGCACAAAGCGGTAAGAGGTCACTGTTCAGTTTCTCCTATCACGTCTTTGGGCCACTAGAAGCCCAGTGGATAAGAAAAGGCACCAAGCCTTTCTCTGGAATGCAAGAATTACAATTGTGACCAGTGAGGAGGAGGGAAGGTTCCTTGCACGAGGAACCTCTTACATCCAGGTACAATCTGCCCCTTCTTGATTTTAACCAACCCTTTCACAACCACATGTTAAACAAGCTATTTTTTCTCTTAAAAAACCCCCAAAAACAAAAGCAGGTAACACAGATCAAAGTTGGCATCTTTACCACTGGCAACGCAAACTCCTGGGTTCCTGCACTGAGCTGACACAAAGGACTCAAACATTACTATTAGCCCTTGCACCATACCTGGTCTTCTTCAACATAGAAGTCTAAGGGCCTTGTTATACACTGCACTTTGAGCTGCTCAAATGTTGGTCAGTGTCAGTGCTAGCTCAAGTTTGAAGCAGTTACACATTCAAGCTAGGAGGGGCCTTGAGGACTGAAAGATAAGGACTGAAATCCCCTGTCTCCCCTCCCGCTCCCTTCTGGGCTTCCCCTCTGCTCCTGCCCACTGAGGTTCCCCCCTCACCCCTTCCCTACTCCCAGGGCTTCCCCCACCCCTCAGGGTTCCCCGATGCCCAGTGCTCATGATTCACCTGAACCCCATGGCTTATTTGTGGCCACTCAGCTCAGAAAGCAGCAGCAGCAATAGCCATTAGGCAAGCAGGTTCTCCTCTGCCTGCTCTCCCAGGAGAGCACTAAGTAAGCTGGGACTGGGGGAAGGGGGTGAACAGGGATCTGGGGCACTGCGTGGGGGGGAGGGCAGGGGATGGCAAGTCTAATCCAGGGGGTTGGGATTGACGATTTGCTCAGATCCCTTCTGACCCTAC